TTCCAATATCTATTTGTAAGGTTTTCTATAGCAATAGTTGAGATTTGATTTGTTATGAACGTATTATATGATCTATATTTGACTACTGCTTTATTCGCCAAGTATTGTCTGCGAAATGCTAACGGAGGTTCTTGTGACTCAGCTAGAATTGCATGATTCGGTGATGACTTCATTGCACCTAAACATATTTTTAAGGCCTTGTATTGTATGCGATCCAATGCTAACAAGTTAGTATTGGATGCGGATCCGTATAATGTGCACCCATAATCGATAAGAGAACGAATGTAGTACCTATAGAACATAATGGATAAGTTAGGATCAGCTCCATATGTTTGCTTGCATACAACCTTTAGAAGATTTATACCTTTCTCACATTTTGATCTTAAGTATTGTATATGTTTGGTCCATAATAGTTTTTTGTCTAAGAAAATACCTAAATATTTGTAATGTTCGACAACAGGGATAGTATATTCACCAATAGTAATATTATCTGGAAATCTCCTTCTGTGTCTTGAAAAGCACATAATGGCAGATTTCTCTGGTGACATACTAAAACCTAATTCGAATAACCAACTTTTAAGGCAATATAGTATATATCGCAAATCTCTGTAGCATTCTTCATATGTTTTATGGGAGACATATAAGCAGATATCATCGGCGTATTGGATAATATTAATATTGTCATCAAATAAACCATGCAATTCGGCTGTGTATATGTTGAAAAGTAACGGACTTAAAATAGAGCCTTGTGCGAGACCATTATAGACTAAACGTGGACCATGTAATATGTTATTATGATCTCTGAGATATAATTTTCGATTCTGAAACAAGTTTAAAATATTAACTGAAACCTTTTTGTTTATACCAATATTAAGCATTTTTGTGTAAAGTATGTTTAAATCTACAACATCATAGGCTCCTTTTAAATCTATAAAAAGACACATTAAGTATTCGTTTTTAGCAAAACACCTTTGTGTATCTGTCACTAAATGAGAGACTGCATCTAGTGTTCCTTTCCCTCTTCGAAAGCCATATTGAAAGGTCGGTAGCAATAATTTGCTCTCTAAGAAATGTTCTAATCTTAACTTGATTAAGCGTTCAAATGTTTTTGTTATGCACGATATTAATGCTATAGGACGGTATGATGAAGGTAAATCAGGATTTTTCTGCGGTTTTAGTATGGGACAGATTATAATATCTTTAAATTTTTCTGTGTATTCTTGTTTCATCCACCAATTGTTAAAGATTGTTAAGAGTGCGAGTTTAGCTATGGGTGGTAAATTATATAGAATTTTATAGGTAAACCCGTCTAGCCCAGGTGCTGTATTTCGTGTGTTTTTCAAAATCAAATCCAATTCAGAGTAGCTAAAAGATTTCAACAAATAATCTGACTCAGAGTGAAATATAAATTGAGGACCAAAAAGGTTACCAGGGACAGATGGAGGGGCTAAAATATCGAATAGTTTTTTTATTAATTCATTTGGGATTTGAGTTTTTTTGGACGTATGAGATTTTTTATTTATTGACTTCATAAATCGCCATATATCTGATATTGGTGTGCTTTTATTTATTTTGTTTATAAACGAAATCCAACTGGATTTCGTTTTTGCCGCTATACTTTGGTAATGCAGATAATTTACATAATTTGATTGTTTTTTATATTCATTTAATGCTTGTCTTCGAATTGAAGTCATATTTGAGCATTTTTCATCCCACCAAAATGGCCTATAAGTAGTGGGTTTAAATGGTTTTTTAGTGGGCATAGAGTTTGTTGCAGCAGAATTAATAGTATCGAAGATGAACTCGATTTTCTCACAATCATTTAGGGAGTCAAAAGAAGGCAGATTTTCAAATGAAGATATAATACTTGTTTGGAAACTGGGCCAGTCGGCTTTTAAATCATTCCATTTAGTAGAAGGGTTTATTTGAAAGGATGACGGATTTATTTGAAGTTCGATATAAATTGGAAAATGATCTGATCCCAATGTGTCTGGTAATACCTCCCAATTGAATAAGTCTGCATAACGAGGAGCAGTAACAGTTAAGTCTATTGCCGTTTGTGTGCCGCTTGGGGAAATTCTAGTTGGGGTGCCGTCATTTAATGTAACTAAATCAAGGTTATCTAATGCATTATAGAGAATCCTACCATTTAGATCTTCCGGAATTGGGCCCCAAGAGGGGTGATGTGCATTATAATCTCCACAAAAAATTGTTTTATTAGTGAATTGTCCGAACAATTTTTCCCAGTCTTGCTGAGTGACTTTGACATCTGGAGGTTTGTATATAGAAAGTATTGTTAAGTTTGCACAGTTAATATCTATTGCACATGCTTCGATTCCTTTATTAAATGTTTTATTTATTTTTCGTTCTTTATAATCTATACCTCTAACAACAAATATACCAACACCCCCGTAACCATCATTTCTACAATTCTGTATAAAGTTATATCCTTTTATAAAAAAATTGGAATTGGGTTTGAGCCATATTTCTGATACAACAATTATATCACAAGAGTTTTGTTCAATAAAATTCAAAAGACTGGATTTATTAGCGTTAATTGAATGACAATTCCACTGTAATATATTCAACTTATTGTTAGTGTGATAGGTCGTCGTCATCACTTATTGGTATTATATTATAATCACTTACACTACTATTGTTGATATTTTTATCTATTTGATAGAAAAGTTCACTAATGTAGTCTTTTATATGTTCATTATTTGAAGGTTTAGTGTTTTTTATCGCTTCAATAATAAAACTGGAAATATTCATTATTAGTTTTTCTTTAAATAACATGAAGTCATCTCTATAAGGATTTGGGAGGATTGAAGAGGGAGTGCGAGCTATTTTTCTTTTTTGATATGATGGGGCTTCTTGAGAAGTGGATGGTAAGGGAGACTCGGGCTTCTTTCGTTTGCCTGGTTGGGAGGGTGAGGGTCGGGCATTTAGTTTATATTTAGGTTTAGATACTATGTTTACATTAGTTGCTGTTTGGTTTAGTGGAGGAAGTTCAGGGAAGTTTTCTAAATTATTTAAAATTGCAAAACGATTTTTCGTAGATATTTTTGCGTATGATGGGTTGTTATAGATCATTTCTGCGTCTTTGAAAGAGACGTTTTCAAAAGCCATTATTTCTTTGATTTTATATTGTTTTTTATAATGGGGACATTCTCTTGAAATGGAGGAGTGTTCGGAGTTAGTACAATGAATACAATAATTTTCTGTTGTACAAGGGACACTGTCATCGTGTTCTTGTGAGCATTTACCGCACCGTGTTTTACCTTTGCACTGAGTTTTAACATGACCATAGCGTAAACAATTCAAACATTGCACTACTGGGTGTATATACGGTTCCACTGGAAAATTGACCATATTAATTTTTATGCAATCTGGGATTCTATTACCAACAAAAGTTACAACTACCATCTGCCTATTTACATAAAGTACCGATTTGTTTTCATCTACGACTCTGCGCTTTAATCTCCTAACCTCCGCCACTGGCACATTTGAAACAATAGCGTGTTTAATAAATTCTTCCGTGAAAAATGTATCAACCGTTCGTATAATACCTTTTTTATGATTAAAAAATTTTGGGATAAATGCGATCAGATCATTATTTTTAACTAAATAATGATTTATTAAAGAATTTGCGACTTTGTAAGATTTAAAAATGACTTTAACTCTCTTTAGACCTACTGATTTGATGTCTATGATATCGTTTTGTAATTCTTTATCTTGTTGCAGATAAAAGCCTATTTTGATTGGAAATAGTCTTCCCAAATTCTTATCTTTATGTTCTAAAAAAACGTTGAATGGACCGATATCATTAAGTTGGTATTTATTATTTAGATCATAACGAAATTCATTATCTTGAGTTGTCTCCTGAATATCTATATTATTATTATTATTATTTTCCAGTAAGGGCGGCCCGGGACCGCCCCCGTCCTCTGCCATTATTTATTTACTTAATTTACTACTTACCGAATTTTATAAATATTTTAATAAAATAAAGTGAAATACACAAAAACCTGTTTGGATTTTATCTATATATCACACACTGTTCAAAAACACCTGATTCTATCGAAGTCGAATCCGTACTGCGATTTTGGTACGTAAAAAGGATAAAAGTTTTGATTAGTTTGTTGTCTCATGTTTGAGAAATTATTATTAGGTTTTATATTTTGATTATTAAGATTAATATTAATTTTAGGCATTTGTTTATGTTCAACATTGCCATTTAATTTTTCAAAATTTTCGCATTCTGTGACATAAACCATAACGTCTTCTAAAGTAGCTGGCTTTTTTAAATGTAAATTATTTTTTAAAATTAGTGGACAACCTGCAAAAAATATATTTAAAGCTGTCTTTTTATGCTGATTTGTTCGACAAATTTTATCATTTATTGATAATGTGACATCATTACTGATTCGTTGAATTACTGTACTCATTAATAATTGTATTGGACTAAAGGTGTTTTGAAATAAGCAGTGTTATTTACAAACTAAAATGTAAAGGTAACTGTATAGATAGAACTATCAAACATTTAGAGTTATGTATCTAAACCTTCTAAATCAAGTTTTGGTTATCATATTAAAATCGTTAAGTGTATTAATCTACTTTTATGTGGTTGTCTTCATAAACAAAAATCAATAATTAAAACTGTACCTCTAAAATATTTTGTTCATTACAAACCGTTTCGTTCCAAAGGGCCATCATCAAGTTTAAAAGGAAAAGTTTTCTTTTTAGAGTAATTATTTTCGTTTTTATTCAAAAATATAATATGTTTATTCCCTTCATCGAAGTCAATGTGTAGGTACGTATGTACCCACATCATTAATTAACTTAAAACTATATAAAAATAGAAGTGTTACCGATATTATCGCATTTTTAAATTCAAGGACACGGACATTTAGAACATTTTAATTAACTCAATTATTGTTGACGATATTATGTAATTAATAACATTGTTTAGATAATGCAAAATTTTATTTTCATTCATTAATTTGTGGGAATAGTTAGTCTATCATTAAGCACCACATAGCCAACAACAAAATTCATCTATATTTTAATTAATTTTTATCCTGCTAGTAAATCATTAAATGCAATGCTTTGCAGTTTAAACGGTGCAAAATTATGTGTTGTTTTGTGTATGGTGTTCTGTTTTTATCCTAGCTCAGAAGGAAGAACGGTTGGTATGTATTTTCAAAAATAATTTTAATGATATATTATTTAGAAATACAAATTATATTTATACTCATAATAATTAGGGTATTCTAACTTTATTAATTTCTAAAACAATTTTTCTTTAACAAACTTGATAGAGAAAATAACAGATTAAATAGTGTACAAAAAATTATACAGAAAAGAGTAAAACAAAAAATTTTTATTTTTTATTCATTTTTTAATATAAACTGTCCTCCATATAGTAGAAGAGGAAAACCAATAAAAAAATGTAATAACTATTTAAATTTACTAAATTCTAATGGTTTTTTTTCCTATATAAATAAACCTACTAGAGTCACACAAAACAATAAATCAACAATTGACCATATTTTCATTAGAATGCAAAAATATTTCACAAATCAAAAAGAGGTAATTAAAAAATTGAAAATAAATTCCAAAAAGTAAATGTTGCTATATAAATAATCTGTTAAGTAATGAGGAATGGACTGAAGTTTAAAATATAAATCATGACTTTGAGTTAGCTTAAAATCTATTTGTTAACAATTTAAACTATAAAAACTAAGGTAAAAAATGATTAAACCCTGGATGACACTGGGATTTAATCTAAAAAATATATAAAAAAACTGCTCTTTTGAATTAGAAACTCAATATAAACAGTACCGGAATAAACTAAATATTCTAATCAGAAAGACTAAAAATTATTATTATTATTAATAGAACATTTCTAAAGTAGAAACAAATTAAAAAAAAGATTTGGAATACAATTAATGACAACAAATTCTTTAAAAAAAAATTCAAATCATATAGAAAATCTAACGATAATTGACGATAACAACATCCCAATAACCAATGAAGTAAAAGCAGACAAGTTAAACATTTTTTTTTCAAATTTAGGAGACTATGGCAAATAAAATACCTAATGTAAACCTACCAGAACAATTTCTTAAAGATTAAAAAAATGATCAGTGTATATTTTTAAAACTAATAACGGTTAAAGAAATAATTAATCCCATATCGAATCTAAAAAATAACTGCTCACCAGGCCCCGAAAAAATGCCACATCTACAATAAAAAAACATCCAATTGTGCTCCCTGCCCTTATTGGAGCTGGGGGATTATTTTGGAGAGCCAGGTTTTAGCGGTATCATTGGCACAGATCCAGAAGAAAGCTCCGTTATGGAAATATCCCTTCTTGAACTGTGACCCTGATCCCTCCCCACTCTTGAAAATTTCATCTATCAGTTTTTCCTGAGTCTGATTCTCTTGCTCGTCAGTCATTATTTCCTAGGAAAATTCTTTAGGCAGTACCGCTATTTTCATGGGCCTCTTTATAGGACAAACCACCTTCTACTACTTGCGCTACAGATGTGGTTGCCCTTACTCTGTCAGACCCAATTTTAGGCTTCTTGGGGTGACCTCTTACCATGGCCTCCGTTTAGGACTTGGAGGCGGCCCCAATTAAGTTGGGGAGTTTGATGTTAAGTTCGGTTGGCTCCTTTCTTCTGCGTCCTTCTCTCAGCTTGAGTCTTATTGGTTTTCCTTTAGCCTCAGTCTTCTGAATTGCCAATGTCCTCGTCTGGGCGCCTGGGAGTCGCTCAGGCGGCTCCCGGTGAGTTCTGTTGAGTTTTGAAGCAACTCGTTTCAGCCTAGTTTATTTCTTGGGGTTTGTGAAACTGTTACTTGCCACCGCCTTAAGGCGTCGTGCATAGGTTGATGCAGACGAAATGATTTCTTTTGGAATAGCTTCGGTTTCCATTACCTCTGTTGTTTGTTGGTATGGAAGGTTTTCTCTTTCTGAAAGTTCCTTGTACGCGGTTGTTTTTGGGTTTTTTTTGGTTCATATTGGTCCCACGAGTAGCTAGGGAAATAAATTTCCACCTGATCAGAGCCCTGCATGAACGGGTAAGACTAAATACAAGGGGGTTTCGCCAAGTGTCTCCTGAGGAACGTTCGTAACCACTTTCCCAGCGGCCATTCAGCCTTCAGCACGTTGCCTTACATCTTAGTGTGGATTTTTGTTGAAGTTAGTTAATACTGTTGCCCTAGAACAGTAGTATTAACGTATCCAGCGGTACCACGGGGAGGCAGACACTCGATGATTGCATTTCTCCATTTTACATACAGAAACAGATAACTATAAGTAGACAAACAACGAGCAAGCATTCTAAACTGCAGAGCAATGGCCAAACTAGAATTAATCACAGTTAGATTAGATTTAATTAGGACTATGGGCCATGTGGCCTCCCCCACCTCAACCTTTTCAGATCTATTGTGGATATCCTTTAATCATTGTTTAGAGTACCCTGTCTAATGCGGTCTTTTGTAGTAGACTCCATAGACTGGGAAGTAGTTCTCCGGTATAGCTAGTTGCCCTTGGTTTTTCTTCTCCAAGTGTAAGGAATCTCAGTCTTACTAGACCTTCGCAGAAGCACAGTACGTGTTCTGCCGTTTCCTCTTCTTCTTGACAGAATCGGCACAAGGCCTCTTCTGTCAGACCGATATTGAACATATGTTTGTTAAGCCTACAATGCCCTGTTAATAGACCTACTAGTATTCTAGTATTTTTCCTATTAAGGCTTAGTAGATGCTCGGTGAGTTTAGACGATGGTCCCTTTAAGAACTTTTTGGCCTGTCTCTGTCCTGGTGAGTTTTCCCACCACTCCTGAGATTTTTTAAACATCCACTGCTTTGTGCATGTTCTAATAGTTGTTTTTGTTACACCACAGAAGGGTTCTGGGCCAATAAGAGCATTTGAAGCTCCTTCTCGGGCTAGTAAATCAGCCTCTTCATTGCCTTTGTGTCCCCTGTGGCCTGGTACCCAGGCTAAGGTTAGTCTGTTTTGACTACCCAGCTCTGTTAGGGCTTCCAAACAGTCCCACACAAGCTTTGAGTGTACCTGCATGGAACTGAGTGCTTTTAACGTCGCTTGACTGTCTGAGTATATGAGAATGGCTTTTCCATTTACCTTCTGTCTTAATACTTCTTTTGTGCAGTGATGTATTGCTGCTATTTCTGCCTGGAATACTGTCGCATATTTACCTAAGCTCAGTGAGATTCCTGTCTTTGGCTTGGTACTATATATACCTACTCCTGAACCTTCATGGGTTTTGGAGCCGTCTGTATACCAGGTGAGATCTGCATGAATAGGAGGTCCTCCCGTCCACGCTTCCCTGTCTGGTATACTTACTTTAATCACAGTTACAATCTTTCCCTTGGTCACCAGTCAACGCTGCTTCGAATATTAATTTTTAAAATATACTAAATCCAGTAACAAACAGTGTTGTTAACTTAAAAGTCTATTGTGGAAAATCACTTACACCAATTTACGAAAAAGTTCCTTGATTTTTAAAAAATACTAAAATCTAATGACAAACAGTGTTGCCAACATATACCTCGTGACAAAATTTACATTTTGAGACAGCTATATACAAAAGGTTTGAGCTAGAACTGGTGTATCTACACTTCTTACACCACTGCTATGATTACTATTTGATAAATCATGGAATAGACTTAGTATAAGCATTAATAAAGCATAAGAATAGTCTAGGAGTTTGGATGATGGAACATCGATCTATAGGTCGCGAGTGAGTAAAGCAGTTTTTTCCAACTTTTCAAAAAAAAATTTGGTTGGTTATTACCCGCCGATTTCTTTAGCATTTGTTTCGGCAATTTAAAGCGATGAAATTGTCTTAACCTTCACCTGGCATGCTTATCCTGAGTAACATATCTGGACTCGTGGAGTACGTACGAATCCCAGTGATAAAAATCTTTGTATAAATTGAAATATTGATTATTTTGTCTCAACAAAATTCAGAGATCCTCCTTAGATGCTACTTTAAACTATAAAATAGTAGGAATTGAAAAAAAAATAAGATCAGCGTTCATAAAAAATCCTGAAAACTGGAAAACTTGAAAAAAATGCGGTTTTTACAAAAAAAATAATAACTTTTTTGTTTTTTAATAGAAAGGGCTGAAATTTTAGCTGTGTCTTCTTCTGTTACATCACTATAAAAGAATAATAACTATTTTCATGTCTTTAAAAAAAGGTAAATATTTTGGGAGCGCTATGCCACTGGCCTGGGTATAAAAGTATATCCCATGACTACCGATAGATGTCGTGACGAGAAAGAGCGTGGGGTATATATGTACCCCACGAGGCCAGGTGAAGGTTACTAAATCTTCAGTTTATTAATTATTTTCAAGAAGATCTATTAAATTTTAAAAGTCTCTTTCTAATGCTTACTGGTTTATTTACCCTACTTTTTGGAACCAACCAAATTCACATTAAACTTCCGCACTACTCTAATCGTATTACATAATTAAATTTAGATTTAATAAAACAATAGAGCTTTAAACAGCGTCGACCTATTTCAAACAAATTCAATAATCACTTCACGGAGTTCATCTATTAATAGCTTCAGCCAATTCATTTAAAAGCTTCTCACAGTAGTCTCGAGTCGAATAGTAATGATGTTATTTCAGGTGTACTTCTGGGAGATTATCCATCGCAGGAACAGCGGCTCTTGAACAGCACCATCGCGAAGAAATATGCCAAAGGAGAAATTATATTTTCCGCCAACGTGCAGCGAGTTTCGGAAATTGATAGTTTCGGCGCTAGCAAGACGTGTAAGTATGAGGATGCAATAATGAATATGAAGTGGTGTAAAATAAACGTATTGAATTTTGAATTATGTTAAATTCGACGAATTAATATGCGATTTATTTCGATTTAAAATTGAAATTTATTTGGAGAATATTGCTTAAGAGCGATATCCATGGTTAGAAACAGGCTTAAAACGACTTCAAGGTTCTCTTTCTCAGTTTTAAATATTTTTTTATAAAATTTGGTATACCTACTAAGCAAATGATAGAGAACTCCGCTGTAGAGCCCGAATTCAGAAAAACTAATTTTTTAATTATTTCTATATAAATTATGAAAATTATTGCAAAAAGGAGTCTTTACCGGGAATTGTTATATAAAAATCAGCTAATTCTTTCCAATACACTTTTTTGTCCAAAGCGTATATTTTTTGAAAACCTTGAATTAGAAAATCTGAGAAAATCTGTCAAGATTCCAATCCATATTAATTGATTTGGCAACAAGGCGGCGGACGTTGGCGGTGCATGCAGTACCGGAAAATTGGGATAAAAATAAAATAATAAAAAACTTTATTCTTTTTAGTTCAAGTGTAGGTGTTTTTGTTTCGTATTTAGTCAATGTGTTTATATGAACTTTTATGTGTAAGCTGAGTTATAATAATTTGTGATAAAAATGGGAAAACTTTCGGAAATGCCGAAAATTATATTTCCGTTTCGACGGAAATCTATAAAATATCGTGCTAGATTACTTAGAAAAAGACAAACATTAGCACCCCTTCTAAGCATTAAAGTTAAAATATATGGGAAATTAATATACTAAGTATTGAATAAAAAAAAAACCTTTAGCTTTAAAGCAATATTTACAAATTTAAAGCGGATATCTAATAAATGTGGTTTATTTGTGGATTCTGAATATGGTTTTTAGGTTCCGACGGTTTATTAGGAATAGACAGTATTATCGAAATTAAATATCCTGCCACTGCTTCAAAACTGACTCCTAAAAAAGCAATGGTTGACAACATAATAAAATTTGCAATTATTAATGATAATGCGAAAATGCAATAATTGTTAAGAGGCAACTTAACGCAACTAAACGAAATATTTTATTTTTTTTATTTATTTTAATACCTTTAAGTATGTTAGTAGAAAAAATAAAAAAGATGATAGATTTTGGTGTATATTCAAAACAAACTAAAGCAATTTTATTTAGATTGTATATTACCCGAGATCTTAGATCCACGTTTCACTAGAGGTTTAGATATTAGAAATTTGAGTAGAAATCCGATTAGAAATCCGACCAATAGTCAATAAAAATGATTATTTTTATTCCTTCTTTTACTAATAATAAATCATTTTACTCAATGTTATTTTTAAATATTTTTAGTACTAGAAAACAATTTTTTCTACACCCAAATGGATAGCGTATCTACGTACAGACTACAAAACGAAAAAATATGCTATTGCGTAAAATGAGTTATACTTGTGTAGAATCGATAAATAATAGCATTTCTAGTTTTATTTGATCTATATTTAGAAATAAATAATTATAAATTTTAATTAAACTATATGAAATCAATTTAATTTATATTCACTCATGTTACACAAACTACTATTTTCTACATCCACATGGATATGCTTTTTTCTATACCCCCATGAATATTAGCTAATCTACGCACATACTACAAAACAAAAAAGTATTCCATTGCGTTCAACTGAACGAATATATTTCATATTCATTCTACCTAGTAAGAATACTGCAAAACAGTTAAATCCACCAATCAGATTATATATTGGTCACCCGGCTACTATTATTTTTTAAATTTTATGTAGTCAAATTAACTGTCAGTATATTTTTGAATTATTGAGATTAAATATACGTAAAAATGAATATTTCTTATGTATAATCGATAAGTAATAGAATTTCTATTTTTATTTCGTCCAAATTTATAAACAAATCTTAAATTTTAATCAAACCATATAAAACTAATTTAATTACAAGTATTAGAACTATAATGGCAAGTGTGGCGACGGCACGGAGTTTGTCTCCAAGCGAGAGACCCGAGTTCCAATCATGGCTGGGGACTAATTAAATTAAATCTTTTTGTATGTTTATTTTATTTTATAAATTATTAAAAGTCATACATTATTTAAAATTATTTATTTTGTCTTAATAAATTACTTTTTTAAATTTGTAGAATTTCGTTAGGGTGTCGTAGAAAAAATATACTGTACAACTCGAGTGGATTGTCTGTATCGCACTCAGACGATTAAGCACTCCGTCTACGGCGTCGTTCTGAAACTTCGTCTTCGTGCGATATTGCCATCATATCCAATTTTGTTGCACAAACTACTATTCACGCACAGACTACAAAACGAAAAAATATACTATTGCGTTCAACTCAACGAATATATTTCATATCCATTCTGGGTAGTGAGAACACTGCAAAAAAATGAAATCCACCAATCACAGTTTATATATTGGACACCCAAAAACTATTATTTTTAAAATTTTAAATAAGTGACAATTCTGTCAAACTAATTGTCAGTATATTTTTTAGGAATTGAGATTAAATATACATTAAAATAAATTATTTTTGCGTAGGATTCATAAATAATTTTAATTTAGACCACAATTTAAAAAATCCTAAATTTGAATTAAACTACCTATATGAAACTAATTTAATTACTACTTTTAGAACTAAAATTTTAAATGTGGAGGTGAAAATGATGATACGGCATCTGTCTTTCACGCGAGAGGTCCGAGTTCAAATCTGGGCTGGGGACTAATTAAATGAAATATTTTTTCATGTTTATTTTATTTCACAAATTAGTAAAGTCATAAATTATTTTAAAATTAATTATTATGTCTTTTCCTAAAATAATACTTTAAATTTGTAGATTTTCGTTAGTGGGTCGTAGAAAAAAACATACTGTACAACTCCAGTGGATTGTCCACTGTTGTTGCACAAACTAGTATCAAATGGGTTATTATTTAAAAAAAGTATTTTTATACAGGGTATTTGTAAATAAGTACGAACGATTTTTGCAAATTGTTATCAAAGTTATTTTGTTAAAAAAAGTTCCTATAAAAGTAGGTCGAAATATGCTTCGTTTCCGAGATACAGAATGTTTAAATTTTAATTTATTAAATTTTATTAATTATTTTTAATAGTCTTAAAGATATTTACTCTAAATTTGCAAAAAAACTTTGAAGGGGCAAATGTGTATTTTTTGGGGTGTTCCAAATATTTCTACTTGTACCAGTGGCGTTTGTGCGAGAATGCCACTTTTTTAATAAAAAAGTACTGCGCCACTGACTTTTTCGATCTATGTTTTTTTTATAAAATAACTTCGGCAAACATTCCCTAAAATCATTCACACTTACCAACAAACACCCTGTATATCAGAAAATGTAGAAATAGGTACATATGTATATTTAAAAATATATTTCGTAAATAAATAAATTAGTTATAAAAAATTTTTTTCGAAAATGTTACACCAGGTTATACTTTTAAAAGATATTTTAAACGAGAAAACAAAACAGAAATACTCTTTGTTAGACCGGACCTGCGATTTATCGGCATTTTTAATATTTTAAATCATCTATAGTTTATAAGTAATAAATTGAAGGGAGCGTAAGCCTGGGAATAGAGCAACGTTGCCAAAGTGGGTTCAGATGCACTGAAAGTTGTCAGTGTGTTCTAAATCTGAATTTGCTGTTAGGTGTTGCATGGATATCGCTCTTAATATGTTTAGTGAAATATTCGCTCCGTGCGAAGTCATGGAAAGGGAAGCAAAAGCGATACTAGCGCTAGCTGCGGATAATTCGTGCATTTTAGGGCGATATTTTGTAATTTTGGCATATCAAATACACGTAAACATTTTACTTTTTTTCAAAAAAAGTAGGTAAAAACAATACAATAAGCAACCAGAGTTGCTGTGTTGAAAATTGTACAAATACTAGGAAAAAAAATACAGTAAAACTTGTATAAAAAATTTCAGTAGCAAAGTAGAAATTAAATCAAAGAAATAAATGGATAGGTGTACAATAAGAAGAAAAATTACCTTTATTTTTTTAATAATAACAGTAATGCTGAAAATAGTAGACATCAGAAACTTGAAAGGTTTTAAATAAACAATAAATTATCATTTTACGATGTTCTTTAATATCCCTTTTTTCTTAAATGTTCATTCAGCAAGGACTAGATTTCAAGATTTCTGCCTTTGATTCTTATATGTGGCTGGAATGCAATTTTGTGACTTACTTACTGATGGGAAACCAGTTTTAATCATTCACTCTATGTTTTCTTTCGAACAAAAATGAAAATATAAATAACGATCCTTGTTTTATATATTTTAACTTCACACTATTATTAAATGGTATTTTTTTATTTTGACAAAATAGACTAATCCTTCAATGACAACTTATTAGACTTAGGCAACTTCTCATACATTTTCCAGTAAATACTGTTGCCTGCCTTTATTTTATTATTGATTTTAATTGATTATACATAATTTTCTTTAATTTAAGCAATAAAAATATATAATAATAACAAATTAATGTTTTACTTGTTTTACAAATCCATATACTTTTATCAAAACTAACATATATACTTTTTAATTACGAATTCTATTAAAAATTGTATACATAGAAATAGTCCATTAGTAACAAAACGAATTGGCCCTGCTGTCGCGCACGGAGCGAATAGGAAAAAATTAATAGAGAAAGATCTTATTAAAAATGTCTACTTAGCATTACACTGCCTGAGAAAAAAAAAATTGTATTTTTAATAAATATGTCCCAAAAGTTGCTTTGATACAAAGAAAAAATTCTCCAAAAATTACAGCGCGATATCTCAAAAATTGAGCTGGCGCATCGGGGGGTCCTCTTTCCCATTTAAACTGTATTTTATTTTATCTTTTAAAACAATTTCTTAACCAAAATCTCTTAATAAGCCTATATTTTAGCTTGGTAGAATCTATTCTACGTGATGGTATACTAGTATGGGGAGGCCTATATGAAACAA